CGGTTACATTAGACGAAATGTGTGTTAATTGTGTGCACATTTGGGCTGTTTGAAAGAACTGATCTCTTTGTCTCTCTGAATTTGTTGTAGTAATGGTTAATGTAGCAATACTCTTGATCCTAGAATTGGTCAACATGTGTGGCATGGAGTGAACATATTTAAGATAGATGGATATTGGACTTTTTTAATATTTTGATGATTTGTGCATACAAATTCCTTACCTGTATCCACTGCTTGAGAAAAGGGGTAATTTTTTTTCTTTTCTTTTTTGAACATCATAATACTCTATTCGTGGACTCGTAGAAAAGAAAGATCATCTCCATGGTCTTGGTGATCGGAAGTTCTATAATTCCGGCCCTTGGTTTTGATCATCAAGATTATGATTGATTAGGCGGTCCTGTTTGAATTCCAGAATCAAGGAAATGTTTCCCTTATAAGGCTCTGATCCAGCCTTTTCAGCTTTATAACAAAGATTGCCTTTTTTCTTGTTACAGTAGATGCATTTACTTGGCTATTTTTTTCTGTGCATTTTATTTATTTATTTATTTTTTTTTAAGTTCTTGCTGGGGACTCAGGAATGGCATTTTGGGCAGGAGAAGTGACTGTGATGGCATACATGTACATTCACTTGCAGAATGGTCTTTACCATCAATTATTTGCGCTTATGTAACTGAAGATGTTTGAACTAGGAGCTTGAGAAGATAACATATCACATTCTTTTTATGCATAAAATGATCTGTTTCTTGTTAAAAGAAAAAGTTATATCTAAGATTCTTTTATGTTCTTTTAACGTATATTGCACCTCTGCAATTAATAGATTTTTTTCAACTTCTATTGTTTCTCCAGACAGTGCGAAGAACTCTTATCAGCAATCAAACAATGGTGAAGTTAAGCAAGTTCCATCAGCAGTTACAAGTCAAAGGTGTTCTAACCTCTGTAATATATATATATATATTTTTTTTAATTTGGTTTTTCTCTTGGAAACCACTGTTCCAAAAACCTCAACATGCACGTCCATGTTTCTCATATTACAAAGCTAGTGTAATGGATGGAAATATCGATAGAGGATCTAGGTATACAAATGAGAAACATGACAGAATCAGAACAACAATGCTAGAGTTTTAGATGAGAAAAATATCGTTCATGAGCCTGAATCTATACGAATGCAAATTGATATGAAAATTGAATTGTGAGAGATAGGTAAATAGAGAAAAGTATATGTAGTCCATTGATGTAATTGAACAGTTGTCTAGGGAGGATGTGGACAATTTTCTTGTAATTACACTTAGAGATCCTGTCTCTCCCCTGAAAACTAGATCTCCATATGGTGCTAAGACAATAATTTCAGGTCTAGTTGCTTTGTTCTGCTCTCTTTTGGATTCCTTTTCTTTATTTTGTTTGGGCATTGAGCTTTCATATTTTTCATGATAAGTGCATTTACATAGGCCATAGAAATAGGTGGGAGTTGATGGTCTAACTATCTCCCTTTTGATTTTATGATTTCGTCATCTGGGCAACCCAACAATCATGATTAATGCCATTACTTAATTTATTTTGTCTCCTCAAAATTTAACAAACATTGTACATTCCTGATGGATACACTTATCTACTGTAAAAGATCGTGCCTTTCGAACTCTGTTTTCATATAGTTCAATTTTTTGCATGACACATTTTTTCAGTGGTTCATCCGGATCTGATTCGTTGGCTGAAAATTGTGAGGGATCTGAACCTACGAGCAACAGTGGATCAATCAGCACAGCCCTGGAAAATGCGGGTCATACTTTGGGAGAAGCTGAGTCTGAGCTTGTTCTGAATCCACTTAGGCTTGCCTTTGAAACAAAAAACGTGAAAGCAGTGGAACTTGCACTGGATTGTCTTCATGTAGGTTCATTTTTCTCAATGTTCAGTTTGAGAAAGTTCCTTTAGCAGACTAGGATATTTACGGGTTTAGCTCCTGTAAAATGAAAAGTAATGGTTACAGGGTTTTATTTTGCATTTTCCTTTTCTTTAGTTCTATTGATTTAAACCGCACATCCTGGAATGCTGATTGGCCTTTTTTTGCTGTCCTGAATATCACAAAGATACTTGTTGTTTGCTTTCAAATTATCATATCCTTATCCAAAATATGTCAATATGTGCTTGAAAATACTGGCTAAAGTAGCTAAAAATTATTTTAATGGGTCTAAAGTATTTTGGAGGAAATTTAGTCACGTACATTTCCTTTCTTCTTCATTATCTTGATGCAGAAACTCATTGCATACGATCACCTAGAAGGCGATCCTGGTCTTGATGGTGGTAAGAATTCGAAATTACTGACAGACATCCTCAACATGGTGTGCAGCTCTGTGGATAATTCAGCACCTGACAGGTAAGTGCTGGTGGTGCTTTTGAAATGATGCCTTTTTCTTGTTTTGCATTTACTGAGGATAACCATTGGCAAATAAACTGCAGTACTACTCTCCAAGTACTGAAAGTGCTTCTTAGTGCCATAGCATCTACAAAGCTGCGGGGTATGCTATATTTTCGTGGGGTGAAAAATTCATCACCTATCTTTCTCATTATTACATTTCATTTTAGAAATTGTAACTTTCTGAACTGCTCTTGTGCAGTACATGGTGAACCATTGCTCGGGGTCATCAGAGTTTGCTGTAATATTGCTCTTAATAGGTACTATTTTCAATACATTGTCTTAATAACTTTTTGATTACATCATTTGTTGCTTATATCATCTTCTTTCAATCTTTAGCAAGAGTCCTATCAGCCAAGTTACATCGAAGTCTATGTTAACACAAATGCTCAGTATTATTTTCCGGCACATGGAAACTGATGTGGTATGTACTAAAGATTTTCTTCTCCAGACCTTTTCCTTGTTTGCACGCTTTCTCCATGGACAGAGAGTGTATGCATAATGGGTAAACCAATCCCTTCTGGTTCAGGTGGGTTCTAATATCCCAGAAGAAGTCTCATCCAGTGGTCATAATTATTCAAGAATGACTTCAGACAGTGTACTGTCTGTGAAACAGATAAATAGTACTTCTCGTGTGTCCATTGAGGAACTTCAGAATCATGCTGGCGGAGCTGATATAAAGGTACATTGGAATTCCCGTTGGCATGCTCTCCATATGTGATTCTGATATTTAAGTGTCTTGTGCTGTTACACATTATATTTATACCATCTTTAAGTTTCAGCAAGATTATTTTTATACCTTTGTGCTAAATAACTTTCCTCATAGGGTATGGAGGCCGTTCTTAAGAAGGCTGTGGATCTGGAAGATGGAGCAAATATCACAAGGTATAGCCAATATACTTTTTTTTTGGGTGGTTGGGAAAGCACATTGTTTGATTTCTTATTTCTGATTCACAATTATACAAGGGACTGTAGGTATATAATAATTGGAGTATTTATTTTTTTATTCTTTTTCTGTCTTCTGAAAATTTACTCTTAGTTCTTGATTGTCTAGTTTCTAATTGATATCTAGCTTCTTCCTTCAAATTGCTAAAATCTTTCAGAGGCTTAGGTCCGGAGTCCATGTCTATTGAACAGTCTGATGCTGTACTTGTATTCCACACACTCTGTAAGGTTCGTGCCTTGGAATTTTTTATCTTTACATTCTAATTGTGATTTGTAAACAAAGTCTGATTTAACTGAATAATGTGTTTGTAGATGGCTATGAAGGAGGGCAATGATGATATGACAACCAAAACTCGTGTGCTGTCTCTGGAGCTTCTGCAGGTTCGTTTTGATATCTCTCTCTAAATAGGAGTCTTTCACGAAAAAAAATTTCAATTTAGTTTAATTTTAGGATTTGAAATGGAAATTTCCAGTTCATTAGATTTGTTCCCTGATCAGTCTGGTTTAGTTTATAAGTTTTAAATTATGCCCTTTCAGATTCAGTATTATATTATGAAAGAAGAATCAGAAGATGTAACTTCATTATTGAAATGCAACTATCATGATCTATGGAGCAGTTGTGTAGTTTGGGGATGGTTCCACCTTGGTGTACTTTCTTCAGTAGAACGTAAAATCGAAGGAGGTGGTAGGCAAAACTAGGTTAACTCAGGGTAGGGGTAGCTAACCGTTAAGCAAGTTACCTACCTGACTTAACGTCCGTCTCGTCCTGAGCGATCTAAACTTCGATTCTTACTTCTTCAAACTATCTTCTCGTTTCCAAGCCCTGTTGGAAGAGTCTTGGGAAGGATAATTTCACACTTACCTCACTCAAAAAGTTAAGCGAGAAAGTGCCCTCTATCTGTTGCGGGTCGCTGTCTTGAACTAAGCAGTGGCGAAGTAGTTCACTGGTGATTCAGATGAGAGGGCAAAACCGAAGAAAAAATATTTTGTGAGAGCGGAAAAAAAAAGAACCACTTTATCAGGAAAACAACTTATTGGATGTAAACATACGTATGTTGATTGAGCAGGATAGACCAGTTGGAGTGAGTTGTGAAGTCATGTATTACATTTGTTATGTTGTCCCGTGCTAGTTCCTTTTTTTTTTTTTTTTTTTTTTTNNNTTTTCTTTTTGTAAGTCCTCGTACATGTAGATGGGCAAATCTGTAGATATGAATTGGAAGATGTGCTAAATCAACCCAACATGTGTGCCTGTCCTTTGATAGGTCAGGTCAGAAATGGGACATATATTCATTTAATAATGCTAATATTTCATGGCTGGATATAGTTTCTTTATGCTCTTAATAAATTGTGTGCTATGTGGAATACAGGGTTCCTTGGAAGATGTTGGTGACTCACTTACAAAGAATATTCAATTCATTGATTCAGTCAGGGCTCATATTTCGTATGTATTATTGCGAGCATCAGTGTCTCCATCTTCTTTATTATTTCAGGTATGTTTGTTTTGATTGTGCTTATCTCAGGAATCTGTTTAATAGTTAATGTTTTAATGGTGTTTTCTTTTTTATACCTTGTCAGTATGCAACGGGAATTTTGTCAGTTCTTTTACTACGATTCAGGGGAAGTTTCAAGGTGTGAAAAGACTTCCAAGTTTGTAATTCACTATATTACTAGGAGTTACTTGGTTCTTCAATATGATAGTATTTAATTCTTTTACAGGCTGAAATTGGAGCCTTTTTTCCTGTGATTGTTCTAAAATCTCTGGAAGGATCTGATTTTAACCAAAAACTAACTCTTCTCCGGTAATGCTTTATCTCTGTTGGAAAACAATTCTCGACATTAACGCAATGTGCGCCTTCAGATTGTCCATGTGCAAGATTTTTATTTAATTCTAATTGGCAGGATGCTCGAGAAAGTCTGCAAAAATTCTCAAATGCTAGTTGACCTCTATGTAAATTATGACTGTGATCCTGAAGCACCTAACCTGTTTGAAAAGATGGTATGCATTCCCTTTTTCTCTTTTAAATTATTTCTGCCTTTACATGTGTATTAATTCATCCTCACGTCTTCTCATCTTATTTAGGTCGCCGCATTAACTAAAATCGCTCAAGGAACTCAAAATGTAGACCCAAAGTCTTCTGCTGCGTTACAAACAGGATCAGCGAAAACATTATCTCTTCAGGTACAAAAGGCCTTTTCAGTAATTAATAATTTTTTGTGTCTCTTCTTTTGGCAAGAACTTTCTGCAGTCCCCTATTGTTAACCTGGGCTGTTAACACCCTCTTTACTCGTAGGGTCTTGTGAATATACTTAAATCACTAGCAAATTGGGTGAAGTCTCACAAAGGAGCTGTAAATCAGAGCAAGGACAAGGCAACCTTTGGAAAGGAAGTTTCACCTAAAGTATTGAATAAATCAGAAAGTGGGGATAACACACCAAGCAACTTTGATAAGCTGAATGCTCACAAGTCTACGATTGAAGCTGTTATCTCTGAGGTGTGCAAGTCTGCTGTTTTCTTATTTCTTTCTAGTGTTAATTATGAAAGTCCTGGTGTGGTTTCAATCAAATTACAAAAAACACATCAATCAACTTTCGAATTTACAGATGACCCTTTATATTTCTTTTCACTTTTACTATTCCTGTCCCTCAGTAGGGTTTTATTTGTAATTTAAATGCAAACCTCATGCGGCGTTGGTAATAATAGCTTCGAAAATAAATATTCGTTTTGTTTCTGACTTTCTCTCTCTCTCTCTCTCTCTCTCTCTCTCTCTCTCTCTCTCCCTCCCTTTGAATTTAGACTTTCAGTGAAAAGTTTCCTATTGTAATTATCGTTGTTATATGCTATGAAGGATTTTTTTAGTTTTTACTCTCTCAAATATTCCTTTGAGCTGTTGTTAAGCCCCAGCTTATTTTATTTATGGACAGTTCAATCGGCACCCCGAGAAGGGAGTTGAGTATTTGCTATCCAGTCAGTTGGTGGAGAGCACTCCATCTTCAGTTGCCCAGTTTCTACAAGATACTCCCAACTTAGACAAGGTATACGTAATATCTTGTCTTAAGATATTTAGTTTCCAATCACCATTAGTTATCTTACTTATCCAGATTCTCAGGCTATGATTGGGGATTACCTGGGCCGGCATGAAGGTTTCCCTGTTGCCGTTATGCATGCTTATATAGATTCCATGAAGTTCTCAGGAGTGAGATTTGATATTGCAATGCGTGAATTTCTTAAGGGGTTTCAACTTCCGAGGGAATCTCCGAAGATTGACTGCATAATGGAAAAGTTTGCAGATCGGTTGGTATTTTATATCCCAAAAGTGGTTTCGACTTCTATCCATATGAGCATTTCCTCTTACCAGAATTTTTTTTGAAGAAATGTTAGACATCATAAAACTTTTAATGTCACTCATAAAGCTCACAGATTCCTTGAGGCTTGAACGAGTTATGAACTTTTTTAAGTTCTGCTTTGTTGGGCAAGATGCCTAACTGGTTGTGAAAGGAAAATGTGCTCCTCTTTCCTTTCAGGATTCAGCAGATATAGTGGTGTATCTTTTATGTCATTTGTTTTGCATGACTTGTCTTGTCAAGTTATTGGAAAATTGGTTTCAGAAAATCCACTTGGCGAATGTGTAAAAATGAATAGTTGATTTGATAAATGACTTGACAAATTTTGGCAAATGATTTGATAAGTTGGATAAGAAATTTATATTGGGAAGGCATGTTCAGGGTCAAGTAGCTAGTGTTATGTGCATTAGCTGTCATTTTAGCATTGCTTAATCTGAATACTTTGTTGCCAATTTGTCTCTCAGTCAGCTAAGCTAATAGATTGAATTTTCAAGTACTGATCTTCTTTTGCAGCTATTGTGCCGAAAATCCTAGTCTGTTCAAGAATGCAAACTCTGCTTATGTGCTAGCGTACACGATTATATTGCTTAATTCAGTTGCTCACAACCCCATGGCATGGCAGAAAATGTCAAAAAGTGATTTTATATACTTAAACACCACAAATACTGCTGATGCATCTTCTCCTCGTGAACTCTTGGAAGAGGTCTATGATGCCATTATTGAAGAAGAGATAAAAATGATAGACAATCCTGTTGAAAAATCTGAAGCTAATAAAGAAAAGTTAGAAGCGGAAGAAAGAAAACTTGTCGATGTTCTCAATTTGTCCCTCCCCAAAAGAAGCTCTTCAACTAACTCCAAGTCCGAGAACAATGAAATTGTCAAGCAAATGCAGGCCTTAATGAAAGAACAAATTGAAAGAAAAGGGATCTTTTACACCTCAAACAGAATTGAGCTTGTGCGTCTCATGGTTGAAGTTGTAGGATGGCCTTTACTTGCTACTTTTGCAGTTACCATGGGTGAAGCAGACTACCAACCAAGGATTAGTCTTTGCATGGAAGGGTTCAAAGAAGGTATACAAATAACACATGCTCTCGGGATGGACACAATCCGCTATGCATTTCTGACATCTTTGTTGAGGTAACCTCTATTTGCTCATCCACTTGTCTTTCTTGGTGTAACTATGAGTAACTCAGCTTTCTTCTATTATTTCTAGTTATCTTGGTAATGTTGACCTTCCTACAGTTATGCCCTAAAGGGTGAGAAATAGATTCGATTAGATGTAAAATGAGTACTTTGGTTTGAGGTGGTATACTGTTTAGCAATATGAAACTATATTCCATCACGCATTCCATTTAATTTGAATCACACAAACACACAAACATGAAAAAAGAAACAAGAAAAAGAAGAAAAGAGGAAAAAGGAAAACAATCAGCTAATTTTGTAATTGCCATTTCTTGATTTACACTTGAACTTTATAATTTCTCATAAGGTTTTAAATTTGTAGGAAGGATCTACTCCCAGAAAGTCTGCTCTCTTTCTTTCTCTCTAGTTCATGAACAAAAGGGTGACTGCTGAAAGTATAAACAATCACCGAAATTGAATTTAGGCTGTAAAAATAGTCACCCAAAAAATAATAGTCAGAAAGTCTATGCTTAGTTTTTTGTTCACATGTCAAGATTCTTTCTGTCAACACAACACTGTCTCCCTACAAATGAACTTAATGTGACACGGAACATGATTATAATTTAGAACCCATCAGTTAAAAACAATCTCATCCATGTTTATTTCCAAATAGACAGAGTTTCACCATGTTTTTGCCTTTGATTAGTTAGACTTGAGTTTAGCTCTAATGTTTATATTTTGATCCCTTTTTGAGTGGATGCCTTGTCCAGTTGTGCAAAATTTTGCCTCACAATAAAATATTATGTTTCTTATTACACAATAAAAAGAAAAGCATATCATGTTGCTTTGGCTACGGAATTGTAGCTTGTGAACCATAATTTATGCTTCAGAAATTGAATTCCAGGTATAATTTTTTACATGCTCCCAAAGATATGCGCGGCAAACATGTGGAAGCATTACGCACTCTTCTTGATTTGTGTGCTACTGAGATCTGTTCCCTTCAAGACTCATGGTCAGCTGTTCTGGAATGTATTTCCCGCCTCGAATACGCAATATCTTGGCCTGCTATGACTGCAACTATCATGCAAGGATCAAATCAAGTTTCTAGAGACGCTCTGATTCAGTCTCTGAGAGAACTGTCTGGAAAACCAACAGAATGTGTGTTCGCAAATAGTGTCAAATTGCCTAGTGAATCAGTGGTTGAGTTTTTTACTGCTTTGTGCGGTGTGTCAGCAGAGGAATTAAAACAGAACCCTGCTCGTGTTTTTAGCTTGCGGAAGGTTGTTGAAATTAGCTATGATAATATCGGTCGTATTCATATGGTAATTTCTCTACCTCATAAAAGTTCACTTTGTTTCGTTTCGCCCTTGGTTTCTATGATATAATTTTTGTTTCCTTGTTTATTATAATATAGATGTATAGATTTAGATTGTGTGGGCTTATTTTACTTTATTGGAGTTTTTCTCACAAATTTTTTCCCTGAAATAAGGATCTCCAATAGAAGGAAATAGTGATTTATGCGTGATAACTTGAAAAAGGCAATTAATGTAGAGCTGATAAATTGCATAGTTATTTTAACCATTGATCTGGAAAACTTCCTTCAACTCAGAACACTTTCAAAAAGTTCTGCTACATAAATGGAAAACTAATTCAGCTGCAAAGCCAGATATTTCCAAGTTACCCATGATCCTAAATTTCATCAATTTTTTTTAAGATATTCTTCTTTTTGACCTGTGTCAAGTTTGCCCGAGACATCTTTTAGCAGCCGTTCACCATGTATGATGATACTCAGTTTCTATCTTGCGAATGTCTTCTTGAGAGATGTTTGTGGTTTTTCTTTGTTCTACTTTCAGGTTTGGGCTAGAATATGGTCCATCTTGGCCCAGCAGCTCATCTTTGCTGGTGGCCATGCTGATGAAAAAATTGCAGTATATGCCATAGATTCCCTACGCCAACTGAGCATGAAGTATCTGGAGCATGCTGAGCTTGCTAACTTCAGTTTTCAGAATGAGATTTTGAAACCATTTATTGTTCTGATGCAAAGCAGCAGAAGTGTATCCATACGGAGGCGTATATTGGATTGCATCGTTCAAGTAATATGCCTTGGTTCTATTTTGTTGATTCTTTTCCTAGTGTTACTACTTCTGCTGTCGTATCAATAAAATTCAGTTGTAATTTAACAGATGATTAAATCTAAATCGGGGAAAATTAAGTCTGGGTGGCGAAGTGTTTTTGCACTTTTCACCACAGCTGCTGAAGATGACCTGGAAGCCATTGTGGAAAGTGCATTTGAGAATGTGGAGCAGGGTTTGTGCCAAACTTACCCTTTTTCCATGCAGATGATGTTTGCATGATTTTGGAATTTTGTTAAAAACTTGTGTTTAAGTCTAACACCGAGAAATTTTGCAGTTATATTGGAACACTTTAATCAGGTTGTTGGGGATTGCTTCATGGATTGTGTTAGTTGCTTAGTTGGATTTGCCAATAATAAATGTTCACTCAGCATAAGTTTAAAGGCTGTTGCTCTCCTCCGCATTTGTGAAAATCGACTTGCAGAGGTGTGTTTTCAAGTGTTCAAAGCTTGCTTCATTTATTAAGTACTTTCGTCTTGACCCAGCATCATTATCAAATTCTGTCAAACACAATTATCTATAGTTTTCTAGGCCATTACTCGTCTCCTTGGTTTCTCTCCCTTACAATATTGTTTCATAATTCAAGCCAAAAAGAAAGACAACAAAATCAAATAAACTTGAAAAAGAAGAGATAAACAATCAAATAAACCTGAGTAAACGAAAAGACAAACCAATCGACGAGTATTAACCAAATTTGTTAGACTTAAATAGGAACCTGACTATGATCATCTGCTAAATATTTGGTTTACTCTCTTTCATGGAAGAAAATGACATATTTGTGATATCATCATTTTGGTATTGTTATATTTGAATGAAAATGTATGAGTTGCAGCTTCAGCAAGTATTTCACTTTTGTTGTTATTCCTGGTCTTATATATATTTTTTTTTTCTTTCATTCCTTTCTTTTCATTCTTTTCTTTTCTTTCATTCCTTTTCTGGGTCCGGGAAGGTATTAAGAACGTATGAACTGTTGTGAGAAGAAGATCTTGATTTCTTAATGCATTTGACTAGCTAAGCACTATAAGTTTTCTTTTTCACCATTGTAACTAGGCAGTGATTCTTTAACTTTTCACTCTTCATTTTGAACATTATTATTATTGAATAAATGGTTTTCTCTTCTTATCACTTTCAAACATAATTACTTGAATTGGTATCTTATGATATAAACTCCTATTCCGTAATTTTCTTTTCCATTTTTTTTTTAGTTTTTCATTTCATTCGTGTTTATACTTAATTTTTAAAATTATTTAACTCTATAGTTTAACATGTTGAATTTTTTTCATGGCCCGATAGAGAATTTGATGAGCCAATGATTTTTCTTGCGTGTTTCAGAATACGGTTCACCAACATGTTAACTAATCCCCCTTATTTCCAGGACATTTTGACCAAAGAAAACGGAATTGTTGATGTAACTGAGCATTATTGGTTCCCTATGCTGGCGGGTCTTTCCGACCTGACTTCCGATTCGAGGTCAGAGGTCAGGAATTGTGCACTTGAGGTCTTGTTTGATTTGCTGAACGAGAGAGGAAGCAAGTTTTCATCTTCACTTTGGGAGAATATATTCCGAAGAGTCCTTTTTCCCATCTTTGATCATGTGAGACATGCTTCTGGAAAAGAGAGTTTTATGTGTTCAGGGGACGAGTGGCTTCGTGAAAGTACTGTTCATGCACTGCAGTTGCTTTGCGACCTTTTCAACACTTTCTACAAGGTAGTTCTAGTTGACGACTTTTATTTAGTAGTAAAAGCTTTTGTAGTTTTGAACTTACCCTCGCATGACTCATTTGTTCTTTTAAATCTGGAAAACTTTGTTTGTGGCCTTTCTTGCATTTTAGGCATAGTGGTCTCTTGTTGATGCCTCTTTCTAGAATCAGCAACTAAGGAAAAAGTTTTTTTGCTAGTATGTATTCCCTTCACTTTGTAGTTGAGTCACATTTGAACATAAGACACTAATTGATGTCTCTCAACACTTTTCTTTTTATTGGGTTTGGTTTTCAATTTTAATTCAGTCCGGCTTTTCGGCTTTCTCGTCTTCCATGGATAATAGAAAAAATAAAAAACTGTTAATAAGTGTGTGTTAGATACAAAGAAAGCAATTTGAGATAACATTTTCTGGGTTAGAAATATTTATATCTACCTTCCATATTGTTATTGCTCCTTATCTTTATGGTGGAAGAAACTCAAGAAAGGAAATGGTGTGATATTGGAGTTCGGATATTATAGTTCAGGATTATGGGGAGACACAGTTTAGTCCATTTAGACCACAATATATGTTGCGAATGCTTTCATTTTACATTTGAGTCTTAGCCAGTTAAAATAGCTTCCTGATCGTCAGTTTTCTCTATTTTTTAGGATGTCTGCTTTATGCTGCCCCCACTGCTCAGTTTGCTGTTAGATTGTGCCAAAAAAACTGATCAGTCGGTAGTTTCAATAGCTTTGGGAGCATTAGTGCATCTCATTGATGTTGGGGGTCACCAATTTAGCAACCAAGACTGGGATACTTTGTTGAAAAGTATAAGGTGCTCTATCTCTCTCTCTCTCTCTCTCCCCTCAGCAATTTAACATCGAAATATTATTTTTGCACTATTTTCTTTTTCATTTAGTTTACATTTAATCTTTATCTCTTGTCAATGAAGAAAAATCAGCGCTGCTAGTGTGATTCACCTATCCATATATGCCATATCATTGGCAGTTTAGCATACACATATTGTTGTGATATTTTCTGCTTATTTTGTTAAATATAATCTCTCTCTCTTAGAATAAATTACAGGTCTGATCTTTTTTAGATTCTCTTTCCTTGATTCTTTTTTTTTTTCTCTCTTTTAATAGAGAAAAGAGCGATTTTTTTTTTCCTCTTCATTTCTTTTTTCCGTCCATCTTGTAAGCTTTCTTTGTTTTATTTGGTTATGCTATAAGGGTAACAGAAGCTGTTTGGTTTTGGATAGGGATGCTTCATACACAACCCAACCACTTGAGCTACTCAATGATCTGGGTTTTGAGAAGACGAAACATCATACAATTTTGTCCAGAGACTTAAACAGCTCTCCATTGGCATCTTTGAAAACCACTGCTAATGGAATCTCACCTGTTCACGGTCAAGAAACATTGCACACAACTGATATGGAGGGATCGGAAGGTTAGTGCATTGCTATGTTGAGAAAGCAAATGTCTTAATTACAAAATTATCCTTGATAGTTAACCTTATTATACATGAAAACACTTCCACATGAAAAGAACGGCGGGGTACAAACCTCAAAGAGATGTTTGTAGAACATTTTAAGTTGGTACTTGGGAGCTTTTCGTGATTATGTTAAGCCTCGGGTAGTTTTCATCATTATCCTCAATTTTGTTCAGCTTAATTATTTGCATCTCGAAAAATTTTGGAGAGTGACACTTGGTGCTGTAGGCATGCCATCACCGTCTAGACGAGCTGAAGGAACCCCTGATAGTGACAATCACCTTCCACGTAGTCAAACATTCGGTCAAAAGATTATTGGCAATCTCTTTGTGAGAAGTTTTTCGTCGAAACCAAAGAACTTTGCAGCTGATGCAATAGTGCCATCTTCTCCATCTAAGGTATGACATTGGCTATAAAGCTCTAGATATTATTATATCATTAATGTCTCATTTGTTTTACATGTGCACTTGAGAAAATTTTGCACCTGATATATAATATGCCTGTTTCTTTAGGTTTCTGATGCTACTATGGATACTGACACCGGAAATGAGGAAAGTCCGATGTTGGAAACTATTAGGAGTAAATGCATAACACAGCTGTTACTTCTAAGTGCAATTGATGGCATTCAGGTACAAATAATCTTTATCTGAACTTTGGTTTAAGCGATCTAATTTTTCATTGTTTCTAATGAGGTTCGGTGGACCATATTCTGCTTCTTATTATTTACTCTTCAGTTGTTTAAGGTTAAGAACTCCATGTTATTTACATAAATCACATTTGCTTTTAGCCCTTGCGAGTTCCAGTTCGATTTTTAAATTATGAAGCAGTTACTATTTGCTATATTTATTATTCCATATCCCGTTGCGTTTATAGTACTTATAAGTTAGGTAATTGTTGTCCATTCTTAAATATAAATGTACTTATAAGTTCGCTAATATGCTCCAAGATTACCTGTATTAAACATATTTTTTCCCCCCATTTGATATTATATAAACTTGCAGAAGAAATACTGGAATAAGTTGAATTCGCAACAGAAAATCACCATGATGGAGATTTTATTCTCCGTCCTCGAGTTTGCTGCTTTGTACAATTCATATGCTAATCTCAGATTGCGAATGCATCAAATTCCCACGGAAAGGTGTGCTATCAAATTCGTGACTTTGACTTGGAGAAACTTCCCGTGTTTTTTGTCAATGCTTTTACTTCTTATATTATTATTCCAAAAGGCAAATTCCTTTTTCCA